CAGTTAAACTTGTCTGCCATGGTTATCTTTTGGAGAGGTACAGATGCAGAGAAAATATGATGGCTTTAAAAAAGAAGTATTCATCAATGAAAATGACCAGGTGAAAGCTGCATGGACCCCTACTTACTGATATTTCTCACAACTCCCATGGAATTTTCCTTGTTCTAATAAACCTATAAAGTTTCCATCCAGTGGGAAACTCTTCTAACTGCGCTGGAATCCTTTACCGTTTCTATATCAATTTCCAGACGTACACTGCCCACTGATTACCGTTTCTAAACTCTTTTAAGGGAGGCCCCCATGCAATGCAATATACATACACCTTGAATAACTGCCTCGAATTCTATCTTCATCCCATTTAGTTGTTAATAATTTTATATAATTAAATTAGATCAAATTTTATTGAACTAGAATAATTTGATCCTCTCCCGTCCAGATTAATAAGTATTGTATTTGTATTGATTTTTCTATACTTATCAAATAAGGAAAACTTAACCTTGGAAGGGTAGAGGAAAGAGGGGCCCATGCATGGAATAACTATCGCCTTCAACTCAACTGGGTGGGCCCTCTAATTTATTTATCTTCGTTAAAAAGTAATCTATCCAACATCACAAATTAAAAAGAATGGAGCGTCATGACGGGGACTCGACAACTTTCCCGTACGGATCACACCCACCGAGGCATGTGGAAGCATTCTCTGATCAAGACACATACTCATATGCATCATGCATGTGATTTGTGATGCTGGCCGTGTTAGAATATCATGTCTTTATCTTTAACATTCTGTTTTTTTTAGAAAAATATTAATAATGGTCACCTAACTTTTAAAACATTAGACGATTAGTTATAATTAACGTGATATATTCATATGCCAATTGTAACTAAATTAATATATCAAACTCAGGACTCTGGAGAAGGTATGTAGTGCCTAACCCGTTAATGTCTTAAGTTTGATTTGCAATGAAGTCACAATTTTTCCTTCACAATTTAATATAAATATAATATTTTCTCAAAATATAATAAGTTTTTCTATTTAGTTCAATGACGGGTGTTGTACATCATATTTAAGATCCAAGTTCGATTTATTATAATCTCATGCATGCATTTCTTTTCCTTTAATTTTCAAACCGCTAATAAAAATATGACACCTAATTTTATTAACACTATTATTTCACTAAAAAAACAATTTAAAATGAAAATACTTTAACATTTAGTAACCACTAATGTAATTCACTATACAAAAGTATAGAGAAAACAAAACAAAATACTTAAAAGCTTGTATATTTTAAAATAAGGGTAGAATATATTAATGGCCCTCTAACTAAAGGACGTTATTTTGTTGAATCCTTCAAAAGTTACAACACGGTCATTCTACTATTTAGATGTTTCAAACTCATAATTTTTTATTAAAAAATTGACGATCATATGAATTGGATAATAACTTGTTGATTGAGATAGATAAAATCATATTTTAACGGTGTCTATTGGCACTGCTATTGCTTTTATGTATTGGTTCAACGATATAATATTTCAAGCGTTGACTCGTGATATAATATAAAATGAGAGTCGTTCCACTAAATGCATCTCAAACTGTTCTAAGATTAGATTTTATCTTATTTGGCCAATAGGTTAACGTCCAGCTAATGTGGGCATCAATTTTTTAACCAAAAAGGAGTTTGAAATATATGAATATTTTGGTGATCACTTTGTAACTTTTCATAGTTTGGAAACTCAATAAAGTAATTCCTTATATTTGGGGGGCCATTTGTGTAGTTTACTCTTAAAATAAATAAAATGAAAATGCTTGTTGACTGTAGAGGCGCGGACATGGGTGACTGGTGTGCACGTGGATGGTGGGTCCAATGTCGTGTGTTGTTATTATTCGTCAAATCCGGATGGCCCACCTCATTGACCGTTTGATGTGGGATTCTGGTACTTCTCCATCTATGTATTTTACGTATAGTATTAAAAGTATGCTTGGAAAATCCTAATATAATTGGATTATAGTTTAATTAAATGTAAATACATAATTATAATATATTTTAAACTTTATTATATTAAAAAAAATAAAATTATAATTTATGGATTATGTTAAATTGAATGTAATTTTGTATTCATGTTTCAAGTTTTGTAGGTATTCTCCTCTATTATGAAAGATGTGAAAATTTACCTTATACAACTATATTTCTTATTTTCACAAGTAGTTGTGTTTTTGTACGTTTTTTTAATAAGAGATTTGGGGTCATACTCTTTAAATAGATGTTCGATTCTCATTGATCTAGATTCATCGTTTTGGATACAATGGATTACTTCTCCCTGCGTTATATGTGCTTAGAGTTATCTTAGAATTATTGGTGTTATATGTGCTTTGGGACACCCTAATTTTATCATATTAGAGTTGTAACAAAATTAATTATCAATATGTTATAATGTTATTTTTATACTGCGTATGAAACTTTTATTCGTGTTAGTTATATCTCACTTTCCTCTAAGTTTATCATATTCATTCATATTCTAATCATATGTGTTGAGAAGAATTTGGGGACATTTGGAACAGGAGGAACGTGAAGCGATCTGAGAAATGGCAATGGAGGGGTGGACAGTGGACCAATTGCAGAGAAATAGCATGCACAAGTATAAATCACATATAGGCTTATGGGGAAGGTAAATTTTGGGCTTACTATCATCAACCTTTGGCATCTATTGCCTCATTTTTGTACTGTTTCAACGTATGCAACATCCCTCAAATGCCTCTCCATTAATTTTACATCCACTTTGAAACAGGTGGGGAAAAAAACCAAAATCCCACTAATTACAGCACTATTAAATTTAAAAAGACCCATAAATTCAATAGCTTGGTGGGAATGAGTAAGCATTTCATCAGACAAGTAGTAATAAGAAATGCAGATAATGGCATCCAAGTTTTACAGAAACGAGGAGTTGTAGTATATTTTATGTATATGCAGCCAACTATATGATATAAAATTTAGTTAAAAAGCTTATTATTTATGTGTATTTGGTCAAATTCTGTCATCTCATTCTTATCAAGCAACACATGCATAAATCAAACTTCCTTTTATTTTTTTTCTTTTGAAACGTTTTTCTGTCTATTATACCGTACGCAGCAGCTGAATTTGACTTTGATTAGGCAATAAAAGCTCTCCTTTCCTCCTCCTGTTGCTGCTTTAGGTTTCCTTTTTCCTTTTATATTGTATAAAATAAATGTTAAAATATCATATAACATATTGGAGTTTCAACATCACGAACATATATGTATGTATGTATGCATGCATATATGCATACATGCAAGTGGTTCCAACGTCAAGAAGATGCATGTATGTATGTGTGATCAAACTTTCTTCATTAAATAACTAATATTCTTTCCAACACAATCTTTAGATATTTATATATAGTGACATCAAAAAGGTTAATGCTTTGTATATAACCCTTTTTTCTATCACAAAAAGGGCACCTGTTTGTATAATTTAAAAAATACTGGGACCAAATGCATAATATAGTTAACCTAAACCACAATTAGTAATATCCATGAATAGATCACCTCGGCTCTCCCCTTAAAAGGAAAGGAAGGTTCTCAAGCATCTACCACACTAGTTTTAGTTTATTTATACCTTTATTTTCATTTTATAAAACACACATCGGGTACTTAAAACATTAAGAGGGGATGTCTCAATTATTATTTAAAGCCAAATGCTAATCACAAAATCCAAAAGGGATGACCCAACCCCTTTGGCAATCATGTAGGTTCTGTCGGCCACATTAATCAAGAAAATTCCATCCCATTATATCAAAAGGGATAAGTTCTGAGGATAGTGACTAAAGTGTAAGCAATCTAAAAGTTCAATGATCATTAAGATAATTTATTCTAAAATAAAAGTAATTAATTTCAACTATTCAATTGGGGTACAACAATTAAACATTTAACTTTTCTTACATTATCTCTAGTCAAAAAAAAAAGTTTATTTCAATTTTTATTACCAATAAAATAATTGACATCATAAAAATTCGATCATAAATTAATCTAGATATATTACTTGTGTTAATTATGTAACAGCTATCCAATTGGATGTAATGATTAAATATTAGACAGTTTTATCATTCGAGTTAAAGATCCCTATAAAGAAATGTAATTTAAAATAAAAAATTTATAATAAAAAATATAATGATCGAAATAAAAATATATTTTAAAGTTAATGGCTCTAATAATAAAATTTCGATTTCGATCATCAAAATACAAATATCTTAAATTGAGTGATAGTTTAGCCTAATAATATTAATCTATTTATAAATCATAAACATTGTCTGCCATATTTTCCTACATTGAAATGACAACACCAAGGACTAGAGCCTGACGAATCAGCACATCCATACGTATTGCACTCGTTTAATCCACCATTTCAGTGAACAAAATAATGCTAAGATCAATCTTTCAATGGTTTGATGATTTATACTATTATTAATCAGTTGCAGGCAGTGAAATTAAAGCGACAAGACAAATTAATAAAAGGAAGAAAAACAGGAGGGAAGTCAGAGGTGAAAAACACTACCATCTGCAACAAAAACAACCATAGTGGTAGACAAATCTGAACAGGCAAACGAAGGGATGTGCAAAATCCCCAAAGAGATGAAGTGCAAATATATATGGTTTTTTGGCAAAGTACAAGAGAAAAAAGCCATGGTCGAGCAGATTAGGTTCCGCTTAAGCAACCAACTGCCACTAGGAATGACCTTTTTTAGTACTACTAGTAGTCATAACCGAGGAATAATAGCAGTGTTTGCATCAAAAGTAGATTTAAAGGAATTCTACAGAAATCTGTAGAAAAAGCTAGTGATATTACCAGTTTTCACCACCGTAACTGAGAGCATGGGGAAGTAGAAAGAACTACCCTAGAAATGTACTTATATGGCAAAATTAAAGATAAATAAACCACCTTACACGGATCAAGCAAGGAGAGATGGGGTTTTTGGGGATTTTTTTTCCCTTTTAACTTGCACCTGGTGGCGGTGGTGGGAGTTGCAGTGGGAGTGGGAGAGATGGGATTTGTTGAGGTTGTGGTGGTCGTTTACGCTTCTTCTTCTCGTAGCTAATCCCTCTTGCTTTCGACTGCAAATCACGAACTTCACGAAGATAAAGCCTCACGGCTCGTGCCCCGAATGGGTTAGCTTCGGTTTTTCCTCCGTTTTCTTCGAAGGCGGCACGGAGGCGGCCGATGAGAGCGTCGAGGCTACCCCAGGCTTGACGCAGCGGGCAGGGGCAAGGAGCTGGCGGGTTCGGGTGGCCATAGAAAGGGCAGATTGGGGTGTGGACTTTAGTCTTGCCGAATTGGTCAAGGTAGCGAAGGAATTCTAGGACGTGAGCTCCACTGCAGCGGGACAAACAAAGAGGAGGCCTATGATTCTTCAGGTACTGCCCGAAAGTGTTCCAGTCACGGCGCTTTTGGTTCTCGTAGCGGCTTGAGGTCGGAGAAGACGAAGTGGCACTGTTATGGCTAACGTTTACAAGGCTGGTGGCGCCATTTTCACAGTCGCCTGTGCTATCCATTACTCGAATCGAATCCATGGAAAAACAACCACAGTAGACTGGAAAGAAAGAAGATTTCGTGACGGATTAGTGGCGGAGATGATGGGATGTTCCTTTTGCTTTGGATCTTGAACTAGGGTTTTGATGATAAAAAGAGCATCTCAGTTGCCATAACACAGGCTATTATAGAGCTCATGAAAGAAAATGAAACTGTTGTTGCAAGACAATTGAAGGAACTGAAAACTTTGCTATAAGCTACCAGATAACTCCACTTTTTGCTCGGCAGATTTCTACTGTTTATACGAAAACAACACAAGCAAGATGAAGGGAAATTTAAAACTGGGGAATTAATGAACGACCTACTAATTATTGATTGATATTTTATTAAATTAAGCTGTTTTATTGTATATTTTATCATTTGAAGGTTATTTTTTAATAATATTATATTTAAAATTTTATTCCTTACGCCCTTTAAATTTTACTGTAAAATTAATAATACGAATTTAAATCAAGTCAAATTCTTAGTGAAATAGTTAATAGAGTGAAATCTGGTTAGGACAATGGAAATAGAATAAATAATGAAATAAATAAAAGGGTTCTGAAATATGTTAAATTTAAGGCATTTTTCTCGAAAAATTATCAGTGATCAGTATATTTATCGATCTAACATCGGTATATTATATTTCCCGATCTAACACCCGTAGCACTAAAGCGCGCTCCCTGTCCCGCGTTATTTTGGTGCCACGTGGGGTATAGCGCGCCCCCTGTACCGCGCTATATGCTGACATGGCTTACACCAGGGTCCGCGCTATACCTTTTATCTGAATAATTACGTATATCGCGGTGTAGATACCGCACCTTATATGGTTATAAATACCCTTTACTCCCGGTTAAGTTTCTCACATCTCCTCACATCTCTCCTCTTAACTTATAAATTAATACAACAATTCCGTCAACGAGTAATAATTCTTGTAATTTTCTCATATTTGATTTAGAAGTTCGTGCGATTTTTCGTTATAAATTTTGTTATAAATTTTTTTATTATACTTACTGTTTATTATGATTATTTGAAAAAATATCATACTAATTATTTTCAATTAATTTTTGTGTTTGTAAAATTGAAAAGCAGGATTATACGTCAAAATAGTTTTGCGGTACAAGTAATAATATAAAATTATATTATTTAAATTATTTACATTGATGTGTAAAAAAATTATTGTGTTATATTTTCGTTCATATATAATTTATTTAATCAGGTTTGTTTAAGTTATATTTTTTGCATATATAATATTGCCGCACTTTTAAACTCAAAGAATGACGCGACTTTCAGCTATTGTTTATTATGATGGTGAAATTCGAGAATATGAAACTGGCGTTGTTTTCATATCAAATGAGCGTGTTAAAATATCATTCAAGATAAACATAACTCTTGAGGAGCTGATAACAAAGATTTCGAGGAAGATTCATGTTGGAAGTAATAGAAGAATGTCGTCGTTGCAGTACAGATTTCCAACATCATTGTTGACATTAACTTATACAGCGTTTGAACTTTCGAATAATGATGATGTTCAAATGATGGTTGAAGCTCAAAGTAATTATTCAGATGCCGCTATTGAGATGTATGCACATTTTGTTCAAGTGTGTGTTGTTCGGGGTCATTCATTAAGCTCCCACTATGGGCTGGCTGAACAAGTTGATCAAGTTGACAGTCCGACTACAGTAATGTGTGATGATTTTAATACCATAATGGGGAGACATTCATCCGCAACTCCTTACGATATATACCGAGGTGGGTCCACGAACAATCCGTATGGCAACACCGCGTCCAGTTCAAGGGGAAGGCATTCATCTGCAAATTTCTTTGACCATATAGAGATGCCATCGACGCAACCATCTGTGCAGTTTCCATTTTACACGATGGCTTCAAGCTCCAGGGGTAGGCATTCGATTGCGAGCTTTTTCGATCTCAATGTCGATATGCCTTCCAGTTCAAGGGGATGGCGTGCAAGTAGTAGGTTCTTCGACCTAAATGTGGAGAGCATGGAGGAACCATCATCTCCACCAGAAGAACCGCTTCGTGAGCCTGGTGCGGATGGTGCTGAGACTGGACTATTCATTCACCCAGAATCAGCGCAATTCAACTCCGATGATGATGAAGTTCCAGGAAATGTGGCACAAATTGACCCTCCTGCACACATGTATGAAGCTGATTATGGTGCAATGTACGGGTCAGAATTTGCGGATATGCCTCATCTCGGTGACTATGAATATTACTCATCAATAAATAATGGTGAGTTATATTTAGGCATGGAGTTTTCAAGAAAAAAAAAGAAGCGGTGATGGCTATAAAAAATTACAATATCCATAATTCTGTTCAGTCCAGAGTCAATCGATCGACGACCGAAAAATATGTATGTATTGACGGATGCAATTGGATGGTTCGCGTATCAAAAATGAAAAGGAAAAATAACATATGGGAACTAACAGTATACAATGGTCCTTACACATGTTGTGCTAGAGGGGTCAACCAAGATTATCCCAACTTGGACTCTGAAATGATATGCCAAGCCATCATACCCATGTAAAAACAAGCTTTCATATAACTGTTGCAGTATGATTTCAGCTATACAATCGCAGTATGGATACACTGTCTCCTATAAAAAAGCTTGGTTGGCAAAACAAAATGCCATTGTCAAACTTCATAGCGAATGAGATGCATATTACAACGAACCTTAGGTTAGTTTAGGCTAGTACGACGTTGAATCCTAGGACAATTGTGGACTTCGAAACCTCCTATGCATACCATAATGATCAAGTTTTTCGCGATCGAAGCCAATTCTACCGGGTTTTTTAGAGTTACCCACAGTGCGTTAATGCTGCCAAATACTGTAAGCATGTGGTCCAGATCGATGAGACTTTCTTGTATGGAAAATACAAGCAAGTTTTATTATTGGCAATTGTCCAATATGGAAATCGCAACATTCTTCCAGTTGCTTTTGCTCTTATCGAAGGAGAAGATACAAATTCTTGGGCTTTTTTCCTCCAAAATTTACGTGCACATGTTATCACGAGGGAAAACATCTGTGTCATTTCAGATCGCGGAGCTGGGATCAAAGCACCAATTGAGTCTTTGGGTCCAATGTGGCAACCACCCTTTGTCCAACATAGGTATTATCTCTGACACATTGCTACGAACTATCATGGAAGGTACAAGAAGAATGATGAGCGTCAATTAATTGTGCGCATGGGTAAGTGAAACTGATGTAGTTTGTTTTCTTTCAATCATTTTAATTTTGCAAAGAAATCAAGTTAGTAAGTTATACATTTTTTGATCAGGTTATGAACTACTTCCTCGAACATTTGAATCAATGCTTCAAGATTTGAGGGCGAAGAACGAGGAATGATACGATTACATCAGCCTCATTGATAAAGAAATATGGACGAACGCATATGATGGTGGATATCGATATGGACACATGACGACCAACTTGGCTGAGGCAATCAATTCAACCTTAAAGGGTGCACGTCACTTACCTGTAGCGGCTTTGGTAAAAACTAAATATTTTTCATTTTGGGGCGTTTTTTGCGAAGCTCGAGAGACAAGCTCAAATCTGAATGCAAGGCAGTCATGTCTATCACCCTAGATTAGTTGCAGATCTACAGAAAAAAATTGATGCATCAAATGGAATGTCTGTAACAAGCTTCTATAGAAGGCATGAAATGTTTCGTGTCACAGAGTTGCCGCGACCTCTTCAAGAGATTGAAGCTGTGTCGTTAAGAGTAAATCTAAGAAACAGAATGTGCGACTGCGGGTTTTTTCAAGCTCTGAAGTATCCATGCTCTCATGTGATAGCAGCTTGCTCGCATACACGTAATACTATAATCATATATGGTTACGACATCATAAATGGCTGCGGAGACTGCTGTGAAGGTCCTGCTGGTGTAGCTGAGGATGAACCGGAAGAATCTATTCTCCGTCCACGGGTTGGGGAACGATGGTGCTGTGTCGGTGAACGTCTCTGTCGACGTCGCGGAAATGTCTGCCCTCGTGCATCCTCAGGAAGCAGAAACAGTTTCCCGTTACTGTTGAACCACTCATAATAACCTTCAGCAACCATCAAGAGGTCATCAAAAATGGGCTCTCTACGGGGAAGACGCCGATGTCGATCCTCCCACAACACGACCCACTCATGATGCCTCACCAGTCAATCTGTATCTGTCTTGCCACGTCTATCTAAGCTATGCAACTCGTCCATATTGCGAGGTACTTCCGGAATTGGTTGAAAACAACCAAGCTGCCGGAGCACTCGATTAGTAGAGTGCCACTCGACGGTCGCATAACAGATCAGAGGGATCATCGCCATCCAAACATCTGATGGGCCCCTCAACTCAGGTGGGATCACCGCCCTCACATCATCAGTACAATATGACACTCATTCAAACTAAACAAATATTATGTAATTTTTTATCAAAATAATAATCTAATTATATAACTATAATCTAAAATCGATTTTTAAACATTAAAATTCATACATGTGTGCCAGCCTTCTGATCGATTAGCACCCTAATTTTTTCTAAATCATCAGGTAGCTCCTTATGATTTTTCCTATCAGTAGACCACCTATTGAAGGAAAAAAATTATTATACGCTGTATAAAATTGCTAATATACAAAATCAGTTTTATAATTACCTCAGAAGTAGTGGAAATACGAATGAGTTCTTCACAACGGGACATAAAAAGGGCAATCGATACCATGCCCAAGACTGCAGCAGCAGGAGACATCCGCCGATAGCATTACGCCTGTAGTCAGTGGCTCCACACATCTCCTTGTACAGCAAAGCCAAAACTGCCGAGCCCCAATTGAATGATCCGACCAGATGAAAGTCACTAAGATGTCGCAACCACATGCAGTGAACTAAGTTGCGTGATTTGTTTGGCATCAGCAACCCTCCTATCAACTACAGTATGCATGCCCGTGCATACATCTTAACTTCATCCTCAGAGGCGTCCGCGCTCAACTCCCGAAAATTGGCATCTAACCAATTTAACGGTATCCTACATCCGATAAAACTTTCCGGGACACGTCCTAGATTATCCCGACACAAAGTAGTCCAGGAACCCTGCGAGATCCCTGATATCACATCTCCATCCACCAGAAGCCCTAGGTGCATAGCAACATCCTCAAGTGTCATCGTGCACTCTCCACACGGAAGATGGAATGTGTGGGTCTTCGGCCTCCACCGCTCTACTAAGATAGAAATAAGGTTTGGTTCTATCTTACAGTGACCCTGATATCTACCTATGTAACCAAATCCAACCTCTACTAAATACGACAAGACACGACTAGGTATCACTAACTTAAGATTCCTAATAAAAGGATCTAATACACGGTCTTTCTCCTAAAATTAAATAATTACACAAATTAATTCTTAATCTAATAATCATTCATTAAATAAATCAACAAATTATTACAAATAATTTAAATTAAATTAAAACGTTAAAATGTTACCGTATCAACAAAGTATCGAGATATATGATTTCATCCAAGCGAAGTAGATCGCCTTCCATTATATATCTGTAAAAAATTATATTAGTAAAATATTAAATAAAGTAAAATGCTTAAATAAATTAAATATATAATATTAAAAATATTATAAAATATACCTTAAATAGAGAGAGTATTTGAGAGAATTTGAGAGAATATGGTGTGATGAAAGTAATAGAGGATGGGGGTATTTATAGGGAGGATTGGGGGTAATTAAAGGTATAGCGCCCCCTGTACCGTACTATATCCCACGTGTCAGATAAATACTATAGTGTGGATAAGGGGTCGCTATACCACGTGTAAGTCATGTCAGCGTATAGCGTGGTACAGGGGTGCGTTATACCCCACGTGGCGCCAAATCAACATATAGCGCAGGGTAGGGAGCACGCTTTATTGCTACGGGTGTTAGATCGAGAAATATATCTGACCGGTGTTAGATCAATAAATATACCGGTCACCAGTGATTTTTCGAGAAAAACGCCTAAATTTAAGGCTATCACATAATTTTGTTTCTTCAGCTGTGGTTTCAACATGACAAACCCATTCTATTGACAATAATATCCTTTAGCCATTTTTTTCTACCATATTTTTCATTTTAGGTTTAACTATGTTAAAAAGGTTGATGTATGGTTCTAAAATTCAAATTTGTATAAATGGATGAGATACTAGATTTTTTAAGTCAGGTAAGGGTGTAAACTCTCACGTTTTAGAATGGAGTAAACTGAGTTGGGAAGATCGTCATTGTCTCTATAGCATTCGATTTATATTAATCGATTAAAAGATTTTAAAAAAAATTAAATTTGTTTCTTTTTTGACTTTTATATTAATTTTTCTAATATTGTGAGATGATTAAATGATATTATATATTTATAATATTTTCAACCATTGTTGATGTACATAAATTCTGCATATATAAATATTTGAATCAATTATCTCTAAAAAACAACAATCTCTTTTACTATTAATATCATTTAATTAAGTATAAACTTGAATAAGAGTAAAAAAGAAGAAGGGATTAGAAATTTTCAAATAAAAAATAATATAAAATTGTCACTTAGAATCAATGGCACCATCTTCTTTTAAAATGTTGAGAAAAATTGGATTTTTTTTTTAAATGATAACATCCTTTTGTTTTTCTCTATTAAAAATAAAAAATTAGACGTGTGTGGTTTTGTTTTCCACAAATTATTTTTTTATTATTTTAGGATAAATACAAAGTAATATCTATTTAAAGATAACTCTCAACTATTTAATATTAAATACCCAAACGCTGACATTTATGGTGCTCGAATCCGGACCTCAAAGAATAACAACAATACTTTACCACTGAGATCACCTGATTTCTATTTAATTTTATATTTGATGGTAAACTTGTTTGGTATCTATTTATTTTTTGCATTTTTGTTTTTACCATTTAATTATATTTTGAAAAATTATATTTAATGTTACGTTTTGTTTGTATTTTGGTATCCGTCGGTAAATTTAACTATTAACTTAGTGGAAATGATGATAGCACAATGTTATAACAATTTAAATCCTACAACTTACACATTATATCATATTAGCTGTAACTCAAAATAATTCAATAAATTCTTAATATTTAAAGTTATTATTTTAATTAATAATACATTATTATTAAATTATTTCAAATTAAAACGATGAGCAAATTAATAAGATTTTTAAATAATGAAGATTTATTGAAATATTTTAAACTAAGACTAATTTAATAAATGTATAAGTTTATTAAGGTTAAATATGTTATATATCATGTCACATCACTATTTTTATTTAGTTAATGGTCAAAATTAACGATAGGTACAAAAATAGAAACAAACGCAATTATGTGTGATCTAAAAAATATAATTAGGTGACCAAAACAAAGAAACTATAATATGTGAAGTACCAAATAAGTAGTTTTCCCATAATTTTTGAGAACTTGTTTGTTTGTTTTAATGAGAATTTGTATTAAAATTCATAAATTATACATCAACTATTGGTATATATTTATACTTCGTGTATTATTGAATTATAATAAGTTTAAACAATATAAACTGTGAGCATAAGCTTAATATATTAGGACTTTGATTATTATTATTATTATTTTACAATATAAACTTAGTACAACCTACCGAACAAAATTCATAGAACATGTCATGTGACGATTTAATTTTGTGATGCATATATGATGTGGTGGCAAATGGACCAAACACATTTCAAATGTCACAATGTACAATACCTTTATGATGTTTTAATGTCAAACATAGACGTATAAAATCTTATGTTAGGAGTTGAACTTCTAAAA